CTGTCCATTTTATCCTTGCAGGTTTTTGGAGTTTTGGTTGGTTGCTTGCTTTTTGGTTTTTCAAGACAGGGTTTCTCTGTGCAACCCTGGCTGTCCTGGAACTCTCTCTGTAGAGCAGGCTGGCCAGAACTCACAGAGACCCTCCTGCCTCTGCCTGGGATTAGAGGGCTGGGATCATAGGTGTGTGCCCCCACCCCGGGCCCCTCGCAGTTTAGAAACCAGGCTTCAAGGCAAGAAGAAGCCGAGCAGGGAATCTCCAACAGTTTCCCCTTCAGCGGGGCGGCTCTCCACTAGGCCAGGTCAGGCATTCCTCACTGGAACAATGTGTTAGATTTAGGGGACACACAGCTGTGAGGGATGGTAGGTGCCAGCCAGAGCTGGGTGTGAGGGTGAACCTGGTGATCCTGGAAACTCAGCAGGACTCCAGAGCTGCACTGGGACAAGACCGTGGACCAGAACCAGCCTTGAAAGCCTAGACTTTTTCTGGAGAGAAGCCTCCTTGACAAACAGGGGTTTCCCAGGAGTCATGGGCATAAAGGGCCCACAGGCTGTTTGTGCACTACCTACAGAAGGCGTGGTGAACACCAATAGGAAACACTGGCCAAGCCTAGCATGGAGTAGCACATCTATCTCAGGTATTTGGGAGTTGGAGTCAGGAGGATCACAGGCATAAGGTGCTGGGTGGTTTTAGGTCAACTTAACACAAGCCAAAGTCACCTGAGGAACCTCAGTTAAGAAAATTCATCGATAAGATCGAGCTGTAGGAAACCTTGAAGGACATTTTTTAAATTAGTGATTGATGGGGGAGGGCCCAGCCTATTTTGCCAGGTGCCATTCTGGGTTGGTGGTTCTGGGTTCTATAAGAAAGCAGGTTGAGCAAGCCATGAGGAGCAAGCCAGTAAGCAGCATCTCTCTACGGCCTCCAAATCAGCTCCTGCCTCCAGGTTCCTGTACTGTTTGAGTTCCTGTCCTGACTTCCTTCAGTGATAAAGTTTCCTCTCCAAATTGCTTTCGGCTGTGATGCTTCACTGTAGCAGCTGTAACCCCAGCTAAGACAGTGACTTTGAGACCTGAGGGTGACATGAAACCCTGCCTTAAGAAACCAAAATCAGCCAATTCTAAGGTTCTCCTTGGGGGAATCCTTGGAACCAGTCCTAAGAACCTGAACTCTTGAAAACCCCAGACAGTCTTTCCTTGGGAAGCAACACATTTTACTTAAGCTAACAGCTCTCCTCCTATGTGGGGCCTGTCAGTGAGCACTGGTTGTGTGTGGGGAAGAATGTGGACCACTTGGTAGCCAATTTCCCATCTTCACACCAGCTCCCAAGTAACCGTCAATTCAGTGTTCCTCCCTTTGGAGCCGCGAGCTAGCTACCTTATACTGTTTTCACGTCAAACTGATATCCTAGGAATGAAGTAGGTTTGAAGCTAACTGTCTCGCTGGAAGGGCTTGGGCCAGGCCACCCAGCATTTGCTGATCATGGTGGAAAAGCTGGAGAGAACTAACGGTACCTTGTGCAAAAAAAGCTTGGCATGCCTCCTCTAGTCCGAATGTGCTACTTCAGAGGCCAACAGCCGGCCTGGGGCACCCTATAATGCAGGGTAGGAGCACCCAAGACAAGGCTGCCCAGAATGTGAACAGAAGATGAAACAACAAGTGGATACGTAAGACAGAGTATGCATTTCCACGCATGATAGTTCTTGTTTCATTTCAAATATGCAAGATAAACTTGACCCTATTGCCCAGGAGTTTGAACCAATCCTCTTTCTTCTAGCCATACTTGAGATGAGGCCAAAAAAGGACCTTGGGGTTGGGGAGGAGTGAGGATCAAATCTCAAGGGTGCTCCTCAGTCCTGGGCAAGTCCCTAACAAGGTAACACTGGTTCCGCGTAAGGATCGCATGGGGCTGGTTAACAAAAGGATTCTTGCATTGGGGTCGCCCCCTGGTCACCCAGTCAAGCACTCTCTGACTCTTACGGCTTCCCGCCAAGAACTCAAGGACGGGGGTGGGGGTGGAGTGGGGTGGGGGGAGGTCCCGGATGAGCAGGAGCTAGAGCCCTACTCTTCCAGAAGGGGGCTGCGGAGCCCGGAAGAATGAGGTCCCTGGTGCGGTGCAGGTGAGCGTGAAGTGGCGGGAAGGGTCGCGAGCACGCGCACCCGTCTACCTTGCAGGAGCGCGTAGCACTGGCCGTCCACGGTGCTCCAGAGGCGGGCCGTGCCGTCCTCGCTGCCGGTCAGCAGGCGCTGCCCGTCGGGGCTCAGGCTTAGCCAATTGATGCCCCCGCGGTGGTCCGCACAGACCCTCAGCGCCGACCCGCTGCTCCCCATCGCTGGCCCGGGGTAAAGAGGCGCTGCGCCTGGCTAGAGAGCGGAGCTCCAGCGTCCGCTCGTGGTCCTGGCGGGGCTCGGCCGGGCAGTGGCCATCGCGGGGGGTTGGGAGACCCGGGCGCCCCGCTCCTGCAAAGGGTCGAGGTGCGGCGGGGAACAAGGACTCTGAGTCTCCACCGGTATCCTCCAGTCCCTTAACACCGATGCAGGAACTCAGATGAGAGCTCTCCTACTCAGAACCTTCTCAGGACTTCGGGGTGGAGTGTGTGGGCGCCTCTGCCTCAGGGTGCGCCCACCAGGTCTGAAGCCAGCAGAAGAACCCGGGAAGTGGAGAGTGAAACAATACAATCCAGCCTGGCTCCTCCTCAGAGACCACCCCCCAACCTGTTCCCTCCCACTTTTCGGGCCGCGCGCCAACCCCCACCCCAAGACTCCCTGGTCGTCCTCCGGGAACAGACTCAGAAGCTATCCCGGTCTTTAGTTGGGGACCGCTTCCACGTGCTTCATGTACGACCCTCCCAACTGCCTAGGCTGAGTTCTGTTCCCTGCCACTCCCGCTGCCCTTGTCCCCAGAGCCCAAGGCGAGAAGGAGGTGGACCGAAGAGTCTGGAGTTTTGGGGGACCCCCGATGAAGGGCAGGAACTGTAGAGCCCCGAGTCTGCCCTTGCTGGGAAATCACGGGCACACCCCTAATTCTACTTTGGGCCAGGCAGGAGAGGGCTGGATCTTGGCGGTTGGGGGTTGGAGGTAAGACCAGAGATCAGGTTCGTCCTCCCTCCACCCATTACCACCCCACCCCCTACGCCCTCAGCTGGGCGCGCGCCTTTGAGGTCCCACTGAGGTCTTCAGGAATCCTATACCCAGCCCGCAGCCCTCCCGGAGCGCGGTCGGCTGGTTCCTATTAGAGCAGTTCCGGGTGCTGACTTTGCTGGGGGGCGGGGGAGGGTGACCCCCCCACTCGGATCCGCCAGGTCCTAAAGATAGCAGAGTTTCTCGAACCCTCCAGGGCGCTTTTTGGAGTCCAGAAAGGCCGGAAAGAGATGGTTTCCAGGAGCCGGCCCCTAGGGTGATGTGATGACCTGCCTTAATCACTCAGGATGACCCCGTTCAATTCCAAGAAAACCCCAGAGTGAGACAGCCGACTTTATTCCCCCGAGTGACAGTGTCGCAACCAAGTACACGTATTTTCCCCCCCTTTCCCGAAACTCTCAAATCAGCTTAAGAGATGGTACTTTGCAGACACTGAGGAGCCAGCTGAGGGTGTTACGGAGTGTTTCGATGGGCTCTGGAATGTGGAGGCAGGAGGCTGCTGGTGACTACAGAAAGGGTAGAAGACTCGAGCCAGAGTGCCCTCTAAGAACCCATCCTGAGTTCATCTGGTATGCTGACCTTTAGAAGGTATTAGCATCATCCAGGTGTGAAGACCGGTGGGTAGCTGGCTGCACAGGTGAGGTCAGCGGCTGTAAGGGTGTGTGAGCAATTAGCACCCTAGAGCAAGCATCCTACAAACTGAGGTATGGGATGAGGAGACCGACTGCTCATCTAGAGAGGAGTCAGAGGGTGCCCGGAAAACCTGCATTCTCAAAAGGAAGTAAAGGAGTTTGGGGAACAGCCAGGGCTAGGTGAACACATTTACGGCCTCAGAAAGCTTGGCCAGCAGGGCATAAGGCAGGACAGCTACCTGGGGGAGCTGTCAAGGGTGTGTGTGTATTATGTATATAGCGCAGCAGCAGGAATAAGGGGTACCTGGCAGTCCCATGCCAAGGTGTGCCCCTGAGAAATCACACCATGAGGCAAACCTGGTATGAGAGGTTTTTTTTTGGGGGGGGGGGGGGAGGGAAGCGAGGACCTGGAGAAGGGGTAGAGCCAGACAGAGCCACAAGGGCAGAGAAGTGAGCACAAAGAAGGGCAGAAAGAGAGGGAGGCAGGCGGCGGGGAACATGTGGAAACAGAGGGAAAGAAAGAGGGGCACTGAGGTAACACTGCCAGGCCACCCGCCGGTGATGACTTTACTGTCCCTAGGTCCCTGGGAGGAGATGTCTAGTGGGATTGTGTGTAAGCCAATAGTATGAGAAAAATGGTCTCCTACACTTCTGGTTTGTCCTCCAATCCCCAGGAAACCATCTGTGTGCTTCCTCAGCCCCTAGCCTGCAGAGGAACCAAATGCTATCAGTTCCAGAGCCCACAGATTATAGTCAGCAGCCTCCATCCAAGATGAAGAGTTCTTATCCTTGTTCTCGCCAATCCTCATAGTTGGACACATCTGTGGATGTTAGAAATAAGTTCAGGGGCTGGAGAGATGGCTCAGCGGTTAAGAGCACTGACTACTCTTCCAGATGTCCTGAGTTCAAGTCCCAGCAACCACATGGTGGCTCACAACCATCCGTAGTGAGATTGGATGCCCTCTTCTGGTGCGTCTGAAGACAGCTACAGTATATTCATAAATAAAATAAATAAATCTTTTTTTAAAAAAAGAAATAAGTTCAGGATGGCAAAGAAAAAGACCACCATTCCAATCAGCGTGTCCAGACAAGTCAGACTTTTATCAAGAGCATGTGCTTAGGAAGACAAGAAGTGTAGTTGGTTTTTATTCTGACTCTGCTGGTGATTCTCGTTTCCCCACTGACTGCGGTCTGACTTTATTCACCTGGCTAGTCTGAAAAGAACTGGCTCATGGAGAATGACAGAGAAAGGGGAAAGAAGTCACTGCTCTGGGAGAAAGGGGTCAGTGCTCTCAGCCATCACACTCCTAGAATGGAGTGGTGGGTCTCTGTGTACATGATGGTTTTACTAAGCAGAGAGGATTAAAGCATTTGCATAAAAGTCTTATAAAAAGAAAAAAAATTAGCCGGGCAGTGGTGGTGCACGCCTTTAATCCCAGCACTTGGGAGGCAGAGGCAAGCGGATTTCTGAGTTCGAGGCCAGCCTGATCTACAGAGTGAGTTCCAGGACAGCCAGGGCTACACAGAGAAACCCTGTCTTGAAAAAAAAAAAAAAAAAATTCTTTCTTTTTTTTTTTTTTTTTTTTTTGCAACTTGAGGAGAGGGTTTATTTCAACTTACATTCAACATCACAGTTCATCACTGAGAGAAATCAGGGCAGAAGCTAATGTAGAGGCCACAGAGGAGTGCTACTTATTGACTTGCTCCCCATGGTTTGCTCAGTCTTTCTTACTGAACCCAGGATTACCTGCCCAGGGGTGACACCACCCACAATGGGCTAGACCCTCCCACATCAATCATTAATTAAGAAAAATGTACTACAGGTTTGCCCATAAGCCAATCTGATGGAAGGATTTTCTCAATTCAGAGTCCTGCTTCCCAAATGACTCTAGCTTGTATCAAGTTGACATAAAACTAACCAGGGCAAACAGTAATTCAGATATTTTTTTTAAAAAATCAAACTTTATACAAATTAAGTTCTGGTTTTAATGCCTCTTTAAATATTTTTTTCAAAATATGAATGACTTTCCCCATAGGTCCATATAATCTAGCTGAAAAAAGTTTAATGAGCAGAGCATATGGACAAAGACCTGTTCTTGTGTTTTCTTTCTTCAGTGCAAGGACTGAACCTAGGACCTTGAACATGGGGGGCAAGTGCTTTACCAGCGGCACATCAACAGCCCTTAGAGCTGGCCTAAAAAACAAAACTATACAAAGTACTAAAAAGCCCTTTCAGATTTCACAAATGAGAACTTTAAAAATACATCCTGAAGACAAAAAAATTCCCCCAGTGTCACTTGGCAAGCCAGATGACAGATCGGCACTCCACGGATGCAGTAAAGCAGGACCAGCTGAATGTCTGTGGACACTCAAACATTTACAACAGTGGTGGTCTAACTGATGGTATTGGGAATAAGAAGTTAGGTACTCCAGACACAGCTGAGGTGGAGAGCCTGGTGTAGGCATCACCCACTGACTGCTTGTGCAGCACCATGAAGCTCTTCAGTCGTGGTTCTTGGCCCCATGTCCTTCCTCGAGGTGGTCATCGTCTGATGGGCTTCCAGCTGAGATGCTTGTTTGCAGGGTGCAGTGTTGACTCTGACAGAAACACATTCTGGACTTCATCTGGAGGACCACGCAAGAAGTGGGCTAAAATTCCATATAACAGAGGAATTGAGTTATTCTTTGATTCTTCAAAGGCATTTAGTTCACGGATGAGAAACTGTCTGTCCAATGGAACTACAGGTTGACCAGATTCTGCTATGAGGACTGAGGCTGTGTATTTATATTTGTTGAATTCCAAATACTCCCTAATTAATTCATTAATTAGAAGGTTCTCATGAGACAACGATGGTCGGGGTTCACGATCATCATCCAGGGCATTGAAAACTTCAGCACGGATCCTTGCTTTTAAATGTCCTAACACTCCCCTTTTTTCCAAAGTGTCCTTTAAAACAGCTTTCAGCTCAGTAACAGTCGCCATTTTTCAACGACCGCTGGTACCACACCTCTAAGTATTCCTTATCTTAAAAACAAGTGTTATAGTGTTGGATAGAAAAGACTCAAGACTCGTGTTTGATATTTCTTCCAGTGGAGTTGAACTTCGTAAGCTGCATCATTTCCAGGAGGCCCAGTGTACCCAGTGGCTGTGTGGTTTTGTAGTTACTATGGTGGCTTGGGGCACGTCTTTGCCTCTTTCCTTTACTGAGTAGCTGGGAAATCCAGCAGAATATCTCTGGAGTCAAGAAAGTTGGGAAGCAGCAGCCAGTCTCTCTCGACCTGGAGTCCACTCTACCTAGAACCAACAAAACCTGAGCTCCAGAAGCCAGGTGGGTCTGAAGATACCAGCAAACACAGTGTGCGTGTGTGTGTGTCCCTGCAGAAGCCTGAAATACTGTGTACTTGGAGAGCTAATCATTTGTGGAATGTCAAGCACCATCAGCAGAGGCTCTGGGGAGTGGGGGAAGGGACTGCCACATTCCAAGAGGCAGAAGGAAAGGGCAGACTGTTCAGAAGAACCCCAGCATCAATAAAAGTGACCATTTGGTGCCAGGTAGTGCCCATCTCCAAAGCTATGCAGATAGCTGCAATGCTACCTGTTGGGAAGACTGACCCTCCCAACTCTGAGGACTCTGAGAAACATCTAGAACTGTGATAATCACAAGATGAGAGACAACAGAGGGAAGCACCTTTTGGAGTCCCTGTGTCATGAGCTCACACTGTCAGAAACATAAATGATACATTGTGTCGTCTCAAAATGTCAGAATTTATTGCATAACAAAAAAAATCCACACAGTGTGCAAGTGGAGCAGTTTGTCAGGTTTCCCCTCCCACCACGCTCTCCTTGACAGTCTTGAATGTGGCAAACACAAGCTTTTAACTTTCAGATTATATAGTACACATAGTAAA